TTATTGTCTTTAACAGCACCAGCCAGATTAATTTCCAGCTGCGCGTTGGCCCTTCTGATTTTCTCCCTGCACAGCCTCGTGGTAGCCCTGTACTCCTCCTGAGTTGCCTGTCCCATCTTCCAAGGATCGCAAACTCTCTTCTTTTTCCTGAGCTCCAGCCAGAGCTCTCTGTTCAGCCAGGCTGGTCTTCTTCCCCGCTGGCTTGTTTTCCGACACACGGGGATGGCCTGTTCTTGCTCCTTGGTTTCTACTCTCACTTTCTTGGAGGTACAACTAATACATCTGCTGTCCAAGCAGGAGAGAGGATCCACGTATATTTAGACATTCACAGCTAAAAGCTCCCATTGGGTGTAACAGCTGACTAGACAAGACTATTGAATTCATCTAAGGATGAACAGTGATGCCTTACAGCACTGTAATACCTCTGTTATCAGCTCTGCAGTATTTTGGAGTATTGACTGAAGTATAATCTTTTATGGACTAAACAAAGCAACAGTGCTTTACTTTTAGCACATCCTAGACAACTCAATCTAATAGAAATGTCCTATTCTACCCTCAGTGTGGTCTTGAAAAAAAATTATATAGGATGTTCCCTGGACCACATTCAAATTTTCCCAGGCAACTCCATGGAGATTGAAAACATCAATAGATAGAACTGATTAACTGATGTTTCTTCCTCTATTGTTATTGCAGTTTTCCACCGTGAGGGGCTCTAACCATTCTTCTGGGGTTTTTTGTGCACTACACTTTGAACTGCTTTGTCATGCTTTCTGCTAACTTTTGGCACATGGTGTTCCTCAGGCAGAACAAACAGCTCCTTTGGAGTGGTGAGCAAATTGTCTGCTCTTCTTAAATAATCAGAACTTTGAAGTCTGAATCTCACCTCAAGTGCTGCTGGCTGTACTTATGGGAAGACCAGAGAGCTTTAGCATGATACACCGTGGAACAGACGGTTGTGGAGACCCTGCTCTCCTCTGCCCTGTTACTCCCCTGTTGCCTGCAACTTCTTCTCAGGTCCTCAACCTTATTTGGCGGATACAGCAAGTCACAGATAAACTGCAGCAATGTGTGGGCAGCCAGGAGCCTTTGTCCTTCCCCAGTGGGAGGCCTTAATGCAGACCTGCTCCCAGCATATATTACTTCTCTAGAATCATAGAGTGGTTTGGGTTGGAAGGGACCTTAAAGATCATCTAGATCACTGGAATGTTAGAAGCGTTCAGAGGATCCAGTCTGAGTTTGTAGGTTAGGGACATTTAAGATGTGGTGATTTCTGGTGGGAAATGGAGATGAGTAACTGGGGTAGCAGGCTGTAACATCTGCATCTGGCTCCAGTTGTCAGGAGCCTTTTTATCTTACCAGGATGACTGTGGCTGTAATTTAAACCCCCGAATTGGTGAAACATTTCCATGTAGAAAAGCTGCTGAAAGTTACCAAGCATTCCCGTGTCTTCCAGACACTGGTAAGATCTAAAACGAGTACAGGATTGCAACCCACTCTTGTAATTTAGGCTATTCAGAATCATTCTTCTGTTCACTCTCCTCTTTTAAATTAAAATCCTTACATGTCTATTTATTTGGGTTACAAAGTTCTCAGAAAATGCATCGAGTACAGTGTGCCTGCACACAGCCTGAAACAATAGCTCAAAGCAAGGTGTGAACTGTCCCATTCATCTTAATGGGGTGTTAACTTCAAAACCTCCTGCTGACAATTTAGATATCGACATTTTTAACTATTTCATTGCTGATCATTTAAGCAGAAACATCCAGTTTGTGTTTTTATCCTATCCTAAACATCTGCCCTGTACCTTCTCAGGTGCCAGAAATCTCAGCTGCACATCATCCAGCTGCCAAAACCTTCATCTCCCTGCTGACAGTGGCAATGAGGATATTTCCATACACAATTCTTCAATTGTGAAAATTTAAAACATTTTTAAAAATTATCTCCATTTAGAGGTACTATCAAAACAGCTTAACAGAGGAATAATGCACTGACTAGATTAGCAACTGAAGTGTAAATTAAAGCCCTCACTTTCTGGAATTGCTGTGAAGCAAAAAAAAATCACAGAATTTCCAGATTTAAAGCACTAAACCACCTTGCAGCAGAGTTTAGGATGGCAAATGTGTATGAGACCAATACCACTGTCTCTGTATGCTTGGTTATGACTTTTTTTTCCTGTTTTCTTCTTGTCTGTGAATCTGTGGGTTCAAACATTGTCTTTTCATAAAAAATACCACACCTTAAGGCTGCTTCTGTAAGATTAAAAAGTGCAATTAGATGCAGCTGTATTGGTCCATTTCACTTTGAATGAAAGATATGCCCTAAAATGAAAACAAAACAGAACCAAACCAAACCAAAAAACCCCACACAAACATGTTTTCAACAAAAATATGGAAGGGCTGGCTTACAATCAGCATCTGCAAAAATAATGTTTGGGCTTTTCCCACCCAGCTCCAGTGTAACTCTCTTCAAATTACTCCTTCCAGCTGCTTCTTGGATCAGCTTCCCAACCTGAAAGGAAATGGGGACACATTTTACAGGGAATGTAGTCATACAGTTCACTTTAACAGCCAATGTTGGCTACCACTGGAATGGAGCTTTAAATAATCCAGCAGGTTCTTCAATCCAAACAGATTCTCATAAGCAGTGGACAGCCTTCCAGGTTTTGGATTATTTTTTTCTGTAAACTGAGAGGAGATAAGGCACAGCACAAAGTGTTGAACCCTTCACCTGTTTGTATCTATGCTAAAATGGCTTGGGGCTTTCTTTTAGGATACCTTAGGAGGGCTGAATTAAAAATCTGAAACTGGTGTAACTAGAATTATTTCCATCCAAACCAGTGATATGTTCAAAAGGTTTTAGATACTATTATTAATAGATTTAATGATATAATTTTTAGTGGAAAAAATGGATCTGATATCTGAGTATGAATTAAGCATGTAGTAAGCTTATTACTATTCATTAATAATAACAGATATAATATTTCTTTATATAGTCCAGGTGTAAGTTACCCCTGATGATCACTGCTTTTAGAGTGCATTTAAGTCTTACTACTTATATTATAAGTATATACTTATACTACTTATAAGTCTTACTACTTACTAAACTGCTAGTGAACCTCTTGGTAGGAGGGTATTTGTTCTCCTCAAAAATACAGTTTTCAGTGTCCAAAGGTTTAAGTAATTTGACCATGAAATCATGATCCAGAGTATGTCAAATTCGGATGAAAGCATCAGCCTTTTCTGCAGGATTAACAGCACACAGCAAGAAGTTACAAAAGCACCATCCCAGACCTGACCCTCAGCTGCACCGCAGATAATCTTCATACGGGTGGAGGAGGTCAAAAGCACCCCCAAACTGTCTTTGCAGTTCGTGGGGTCAGCTGGCGCAGAACACAGCCCTGCTGCTGGAGCAGCCACAAACTGCAGGTTTTGCCAGGGAACACGAGGGTACATTAAATGGAGTAGCAATCTCGCAGCTATATTTGATGTGTTTCCACGTCAGTATGGTTGGAGAGGCAGCTGTGCTCCCTGGAAATTCTCCTCTCCCTGGATCAATGAATCAAAAATAGATCAGGTTTTATACTGTGGCAGTGTAACTATGCCCAGTTTGCAGCTAAGGAAGTAATGACAGGTAGATTTAGGTCCCTACATGGTAAAACACAAGATTAAAAGTAACGAGTACTGAGAAACTTTTGAATCTTGTAAGTGCTTTCTCTTAAGTGGAACATGTTTTAAGGTCACACAGAAAGTTAGATGCTAAGTGAGATGGGAGTGAGTCCAGAGCTGGACGTTTTTCTCTACATAGTACTCTGGTCTTTCTTGCTCATTTCTGTTTCTCAGGTCAGGTGAGTGAGATTCCCTGCAGTAAGGGGTTAATGGGTGAGAAGCTGAACCTCTCAGAGAACTGAAGGCAGCCTGCCGAAGAAAGTGAAGTCAGCACTGCAGTAATCAGAAAGCAAATGAAACAGAAACCAGGGCCCCCACAGAAAAAAACCAAAGCAAAACCCCCACAGGATAATGAAGGAATTGACAACGACTTCATGTACCTTAGTGATTAACTGTTTATCTGGTGATACTACAGTCGAGTGTGACTGAGGTTCTTTCTTTAAAAAAATGTATTTAAAATTAGTTCCTTTGCCCCCTGTATTGATGGAATGGAGTGTTGACATTATCATGAAATTTTCTGCATATCCCCTTAATTGGAGCTGATTTTATTGCTATGTTTGACTGACAGCCAGAAGTGAACAAGAAAAAGAAGGACCCCTTCTGCCCTCCACCCCCAGCACATACATTGAGCACATCATCTGGAAATTCCAATCTCTCAAACTGTGCTGAAAATGTATACTGGAAACCACAGAGAGTGCTGTGTTTATATCCAGTGCCAGCCAATGCCATTCACACCCTCCCTGCGTTGAACCTCCCTCTCTCAAAGAACAACCACCACCTATTTCTCCTCAAAAATTCATAGAGCAGAACAGACCAAGGAAGCCAGAGCAGTGTGTCCAGCCCACCGTCTTTCCACCTTCCATTCTGAGACTCCAATGTCAAAACTCTTTTGTCCATGTAAGTAAAGATTTTGAAAGGATTCTGTGCAAACAAGTAATTGACAAATATGCAATTACGTATATGGCAAATACTAAAGTCCGAAGAGCTTGGAGACAATGGTGTTAATTTGGAAAAGTATGGTCCAGCGTATTGTTAATACAGGGAGGTCGTTGTCAAGTTTGCAAGTATAAACTTAACAGACAGCTTCACTGTGTCCTTCCCATTTGAAATCAGGGTAGACATCAGGATAGCAGGGCTCATGCTGCTCAGCCTTTTTGTTCACTGTGCTCCTATTGTGCCCTCTGCACTTACAGGTTGAGAAAAGTCTTAGTGAAAGCACCAGCGCTGCTGTGATTATTTAGTGACAAAGGCAGCCTTTTGTGACTGACCCTCTCTTTATGGAGAAGGACAGCATGAAAGGGATAAGTGATAGTGTTCCAATCTGTATGGTCTTTCAGGACATGCTTCCCATGGTGTCGCTCAGCTATATCTGTGAGCTCCCAACAGGCAGTACAGCCCTGTGAGGGAACGCTGGAAGAGAGGACTCCCCCACAGATAATGGAGCTGTGCAATTATTCAGC